AATTGACCAATGGGTTCCAGAGAAACGGCAAAAACGCCCATTTCCACCCAAATGACCCCAGAGGTGGAGTTTCTTTGGCTAGACCTCTCTAAAAAGGTCACATGTCACTTGTTTTGCATCAATCTTGATACAGGGTACTTATTATATGTTGTTCTTTGGATTCCTAAAGCTTTTAGTCTACCATCCCATCATTCAAGGGTGGTTTTCACTATAAGTAAAAAATTATTTTTGGACGGACACTATAATTTACAGTTTTTTACTATGTTCAATCTGAATTTTCTTTAAAATAAAAAACATCTATATTGATTCTGACTTTTCTACATCCAACTCACAGGTTTATCATTACTTTGAGAAAAAAGATTATTAATTTTCGAAGTGTAGTTATGGTCATTAGCCGCGTTCACCCCGCAGTACTTTTCCCACTTTAGTTCCGATATAGTTCCGAAATGTCGCGTTCACACCAAAAAGAGCCGGAACTAAAATGAGTTCATCAGAACCTTTTTTTCCCCCTTTTCCGTCCCTGCTAGAGAGCAGGTACTTTCGTGGGAGAAAAAGATTCCTATGTCTGATTGGCTGGGCGGAATGCAAACCACGCCCCGTAAAACTCCCAAAAGGTTTTGTGAAGCCGCCATTTTATTATCCTCGCATTAGCATTATTAGCATTAGCATTAGCCCAGCGCACAAACGCAGAGAGACTAACTTATGGCAACACAAAATAAAACATGGGAGCGGTGGAGATGAGGAGGTGTCGGCGTTCTGGCGATTTACTCGGAAGGCTTCAGTAGAAGCTGCTGGGAGTCCCAGCAGCTTCTACTGAAGCCAGTCCCCAACTCTGGAGACTTCTGGCCGGGGACTTCGGGTGGCAGTATACGCCGTGAAGTTGTTTGCGGCCTGCCAGTAAACCCAAAGCAGAAGAAGTGACGTCGGTGGCTTCATTTGCCTAATCCTTCCCCAGGAACTTATTCCGGTGTGAACGCGATCTGTACTTAGTTCATGAGAACTAAAGAGTTCTCATGAACTAAGTTCTCATGAACCTTTGTGGGCAAAGTACTTCAGTGTGAATGCGCCTATTTGTTCTGGAAATGTCATTTTCGAGCCTGAGACCTGAAAAACAAGCTTGGGGCTTAACAGGTTCAATCATGCCCTAACACAGTGTTCTTAATGCACAAGAGAAACAAGGTGTTCAGACAAACAAACTCAAATATAGTATAAAACAGCAGAAACTACTCATGATAGCCTAGAATTCTGCTTACTGTAAGTACAGTAAAAGTACTTAGTTATAAATGACATCACCCATCTCTTAAGAGAGCTAAAGGTGACCTGTGCAGAAACACATTTCAATACATATTTGTCAATACTAAGAGCCGCTAGATTGTGCTGCTGTAATGGAATATGTATGCAAGGAGAATAAAAACATACCATGTGGTCCAGCTGGAGTTTCATCTGCCTCATGATCACTGCCTCTGTCCCTCTTTCTGACACTTTTTTTTTTCTTCTTAAGCAACTCTCACATTTTCTGATCATTTGAGTCTTATAGATTTTGTTCCAATTGTTTCAATTCTGCTGGCAACTGGTCTAACTCGTTTGGTTAGCTCTCTTTAGGTGAGCACTGTATCCAATTATGTTCCCTTGAAGCAAAGCGTTACATGCATCCCACAACAATGGATGGGAAACTTCACCATTATCATTTGGTTCCAAGTTCTCTGTAATATCCTTCTTAATTTGGTCCTTCATATTATTCAGTAGATATTTATTAAATCGCCATATAGTGTTTATCTGATCCTGTACCAGATTTAATTTTAAATAAATAGGGCAACGATCTGAAAGGTTCATGATCCCATTGTCACAGCCTCCCACCCTGTGTAGATCTTTACCAAAGGTAAGAAAATAATCAATCCTTGAATATGCCAAATGTGGATTGGACAAAATGTATAGTCCCTGTTTGAAGGGTTCATTTCTCTCCAGACATCTATCAAACCAATATCCTCCAGTTGTTTTTTGCTTTGCAGCTTGGACTGAACAATATGCACATTTGAGGAGTCCAGTTTATGATTCAATCTAATATTTAGACCCCCCGCAGATTAGCAACCTTTGAGTTTCTGCTGTAATCAAATCAAATATCTGTTTAAAAAATGTCCGGTCTGAATTAGGAGGGGCGTAAATATTTAGTAGTAATCAATGAACCACCTAGATTTCCTCTCAAAATAATATATCTCCCCTCTGTCCTTCTTTTCAAATGTGGGTTCAAAACAAATGTTGTTGGAAATTAATATTACCACCCCCCACTGATGTTTAAAGCCTATAGTCTTCTTAATTTAGCATGCTCTGCATCTGAAAGGTGTGTTTCCTGCAAAAAGGCCATCTCAACTTTATCTCTTTTTAGTTTGGTTAATAACTTACCTCCATTCACATTATTGCATTCAGTGTCTGTGTCACATGTACTGGAGGGGACCCAGATTCAGACTCGGAATATGCTGGTGAGCGTAACATTCGTTTATTTGAAAAGGGGAGCTGGGAGTGGAGGTTATGGCGGCTGTGGGAAACAGTTGTTCCAGGGTGGCTAGAGAGGCCTGGCTGGTCTTGGGAGTGTGGCCGGCAGGCGCGTCGCCTGGGCTGGGCATCCGGCCATTCTTTTGCCCCGGAAAATTCTCCCTCAATAATATAATACATTAACCGTGCTTTACCTGAACCTCATCATGACACTAGAGAGGACGGCAGGATTGTAATTTCCCGTGTTCGGTGAATGCAACAGCGGCAAGACACCAGACCAATCACCAGAGAGTTGCATGGAAATAAACGTGTCTTATTGGCTGACAGGTACCTATCCTGTGACAATGTTTAAACTGTCAGTCGGACTCAGAGTTTTTGAAGATGGACATAAGAAAAATTTTTCTTAAAAAAGACGACAATTCTCAAGTGGTGGCTCACACCACAACCCCAGAGCTGTTTATGCTTTGCTTACATGTTCGCATAACTTGGAAGTTTCCTTACATTTACATACCTTGTTTACCTGGCGCAAGTGGTGGCTCACACCACAACCCCAGAGCCACAAAAAATGACATGTACAAAAAATTGGACTGATAGTGTATCAAACTTAAACTAGCTTTATTAAATGTCAGATCTTTGCCAGGAAAAACATTTTTAATCAATGATTTTATCACTGAGCACAATCTGGATTTTATGTTTTTAACGGAAACTTGGATTGAACAAAATAACAGTGCAGCTGTTCTTATCGAATCAACCGCTCCCAACTTCAGTTTTATGAGTCAGGAAAGAATGCATAAGAAAGGAGGTGGAGTTGATATTTTGTTCAATGATTCCCTTCAATGCAGGATAACATCTTATGGGAACTTTGCTTCTTTTGAATATAATAATAATAATAATAATAAATTCAATTTATAAAGCACCTTTCATTGCTAACAGCAATCCCAAGGTGCTACAGGAGGCATAATAAAAACAAACAAAATAAACAAAAGTTTTAATCAAAAGTTTTTTTTAAAAGAAAGGTTTTTAGGCCTTTCTTGAAGGCGTCAGTGGTCTGTGGAGTCCTCAGGTGGTCTGGGAGGGAATTCCACAGGCGAGGAGCAGCTGCACAGAAAGCCCGATCCCCCATTGTGCGGAGTTTGGTCCTCGGGGGGCGAAGCCGATGGTTGGTTGTGGAGCGGAGGTTGCGTGTGGAGGTTTGTGATGTGAGAAGTTCCTTCAGGTATGGAGGAGCATTCCCGTGGATGCCTTTGAGTATATATGTGGCCCTTCAGCTAAAATGCTCCTCTCGAGCTCTGTTCCTAAATATCTATAGACCACCCAAATACTGTGCAAGCTTTTTTGATGACTTTACTGAACTGCTGTCTATAGTGCGTATTGACTTTGACCGTCTAGTCATTGTTGGTGATTTTAGCATCCATGTTGACAACCCCCAGGACAGAGGGGCTAAAGAACTGTTTTGTGTTCTTGATAACTATGGACTGACTCAGCATGTGACGGAGCCCACGCACAATAAGGGGCACACTTCAGAACGCTGCTGCTCGAGTCCTCACTAACACCAAGAAAGTGGATCACATCACTCCTGTTCTGAAGTCTTTACACTGGCTTCCTGTGTGTCAAATAATTGATTTCATAATACTGCTGCTTGTTTATAAAGCTTTGAATGGTTTATGCCCAAAATACAGTTCTGACCTGCTGCTAAATTATGAACCATCCAGATCTCTCAGGTCTTCAGGGACTGGTCAGCTTTCTGTCCCCAGAGTCAGAACTAAACATGGAGAAGCAGCGTTTAGTTATTATGCTCCAAATATCTGGAACAAACTCCCAGAAACCTGCAGGTCCGCTGCAAATCTTACTACTTTTAAATCCAGGCTGAAGACTTTTCTTTTTGCCGCTGCTTTTAATTGATATATTCATATCTTAAACTTCACTGTAACTTTTATCCATGTATTTTTTCTTTTAATGTTTATTTTATTATCTTTGCTTTTTAATGACTGATTTTAAATGTCATTTTCTTAATGTCTTTCATTGTTGTAAAGCACTTTGAATTGCCTTGTGTTGAAAGCTGCTATATAAATAAACTTGCCTTGCTTTGCCTTGCCTCTCTGCAGCAGACCGGACCATGTCTGTAAAGGCAGAGGGGTGTCTCTAGTTCCCCCTCGACACATAGACTGATCCTTTTTTTTGTCCATGTCTGATTGGTTTAGAGCTTTCGTGACTGCAAACATTTTTAAACAAACATTGACCATGTACCGTTCACCACCCCCCACCCCCCGACAGCTCCCTTAAGGTGATCAACGCAGGGTAACAGACAGACGGCTGTGCGACAGATTTCTTGTGTATACACAATAATACATTTACAACACAGACCATTCAAATGATATAAATGATAATGTATGCATAGAAAGCAAACAATGTAAAAGGGATTGAAAAGAAATTGAGCTCATACAAATATGAAAAAATACCAGCTGGTGTTTGATTGTAACTGTACTCATGCTGCACTCTTTCTCCTCCAGGTGCTCATCATCATGTCCGTCAGGCTGTGGCTGATGGGAGGATCCATGCCTCTATTCTCTGAGCAGGACAACCCCGCCTCCTTCTCCCCACACCTGCTTACCAGGTCAGTGGTACACACACACACACACACACACACACACACACACACACACACACACACACACACACACACACACACACACAGCTATTGACCTGAGACCATGTCTCCACCAAGACTTTGACCTGAGTCCAAGGCTCACAACCTGCCTTACCTGTGGTTAGGGTGTTGCACCTAAAGAACTTTGGTTAAGGTTTTTTTTATTATTATTATTATTATCTTTTTTTCTCATAGGCCCATTGCCATCTCCAACAATGAGTATCAGGGAAGGTGATTGATGCCAACCCCCTCACTCCTTTGTGTTCTTTGATCTCTTCTTGAGAGAATCTCAGGTGTGGAGGAGGGTTTTTGTATGACAGCCGACCATCAACAATCCATAATTGTGACTTTTTGAAAATAAAAATGTGAGTCTCTTTCAACATGCAAAAATATCTTTCTGCTGTCCCAGTGTTAATTTTGGCAGCTATTTTTGATTAAGTCTAGTCTAGTTTTAGTCAACGACAACTCAAAACGTTTTAGGCCAGTTTTAGTCTATGAAAAATCATTACATTTTAGTCAACTTCTAGTCAAAAAATGGTCTCTCTTTAAACTAATTCAGTTAGACAAATACAGGTATCTGAAATTGGAATCAAGGTGACAGCAACATTTCACTCTCTTAACACTTTACTTGTGTGATATATAGGGATGGATATCATTAAGGTTTTTAACGGTACTACTACTCTTATCGATACTGCTTATTGATCCGGTACTATATATAATTATGTTATTATATTGTACTGTACTTGAGTAAAATGTTGAGGTACTTGTACTTTACTGGAGTATTTAAATGTTTTGCTTCTACTCCACTACAGTTCAGAGGTAAATGGTGTACTTTTATGGCGCGTTTCCACTGCAGCGCGGAGCTCGCTTTAAGCGTGCCGAGCCGTGCGGGTCCCGTTTTTGGTTGCGTTTCGACTTGGCCTAGTACCGGCTAGCGGATCCTAATTCACAGTTTTTCTGGCCCCATAAAATCGTGGTTCTAGGGCCAGGAACAACCAGGCTGAGTCGGGCTGAGTATGCTAAACTAGAGAGAGAATCGCTGGCAAGGGGGCTACAACTACAACAAGATGAACATATTTGACCTTGATTTAATTGTAATACACGTTTCAAAATGATGCCGAAGTAACAACATACTGATACCGGTTAGTAAAAACCATGAATTAATGCTTTGACAAGTCTGCAGACAGACGGCAGGCGAAAAACCTTTTAAAATGCGTGTTTTCTAAATGGAGATTGGCTAAGCTAACGTTGCATATGCTCCGACCGTCCACACTCACAACAACGGCCTATACAGACATAAATAAACCAGCGACTGTATTCGCCATGACCAGTGGCGGCGCCAGAGCATTTTTGTTGGGTAATCTATGGTAGGGCTAACCCATACAGTGGTGGTGCTCAAGTCAGTATTTCCAATGTAATTACATACACGCTATATTACCCCCCTTGACAGTGAAACGTCACGCGTGAGGTTTAGATTATTTCCCTGTCTCAATCAAAATGGAACTGCATGAAATAAAACGGCACATTTGTCTTGTAGTAAATAAAAAGGGATCACTGTGAACGTGACGTATGATAGTACACGTTGAAGATCCAATGGGGATACTGAATGGCGGTTTCGATTGATCTCAATCAATAAGGCATGACGCAGATCCAACGTTTCGTTGCTCTGGCTGTAGGTCTATTCAAATTGCATTCGGAGGCATTTTGATCTGACCGCGGCCGCGCTGATATTATAACGCCAGAGAATTTCCACACCTTTAGTGTATAAAACTCCCCCACTACTTAGACTATTCCTTGCACCCCTCTTATAGCATAAGCCCGAATGGTCTCAACCATATTGCATCAGTAAGGTGCACTTGTTGTTACAGCAGGATCAGTTTGTGTGCTGTGGACACGACCCGTATATTTTCGCAATCCGTGTTCTCAACATTTAGCATTTCGCTTATTATTTAATTGAATTTGCATCACTTTTCATGGTGGGGCTATGGTGGGGCTAAGCCATTTCTTGGTATGGCTGTAGCCTACCCCAGCCATACCCTGGCGCCGCCACTGGCCATGACACAGTCTGTGGTTTGTACATGTTTAACTTTTGTCTAGTTTCTGAACAGATATGAGGAGCTGTGAGCTCTGAGTGCTAACAGCTAACGGCTGTGTTGTTTTTCTGGGGTTCTCATTGAAGATCACGTCACGGCTCCGCCTACACTGCGTTACTATAGATACTGCCCCAGTTACTAAACTGTAATGGCAATGCGCCATAAAGTGAGCCAGTCCTAACGAGGCCTAGCCATACCAAGCGAGGCCGAGCGAGGCTGTGTAGTGGAAATGCGCCATTACTCCACTGCATTTATTGAATACCTTTAGTTACTTTACAGATGTGGATGAATGATGTGAAATATAATCAAGTCTTAAATCAGACTTTAGTTACACCTGGAGTAAATTCACAATCTACCCTGCAGTTTACAAAGTCATTCAAACTAGCTGCACCTTTACCAGCTTTGAGAACACTCAATAATTATAAAACATCATATATCATTATTCTGAAATGGACCAATCTGCACAATGACTTGGTACTTTACCTATATTTTGATGCTAATACTTTTCTACTTTTACTTGAGTAACATTTTGAATGCAATACTTTTACTGTAACAGAGTATTCCTACAATCTGGTACTTTTTTACTTCAGCTGCTTCAGGAAGAACATCCTCTGCTGGGCTTTTTTGATGAGGGAGCCGATGTTCTGCTCCCATTTGAGGTCCTGGGCGATGATGGTGCCCAGGAAGCGGAAAGACTCCACAGCAGTGACTGGGGAGTCACACAGAGTAATGGGGGTGGGCACTAGCATCACGATACATTTTTGATGACATTTGGCCGAGGGGTTATTATTTTGCTGTGCTGCAGCCACACTAAATGCATCCAGGTGTTGCTAGGACTTTGTCCTCAGGCGGTTTATAGATCTCTATTCAGAATACTTTGTTTTTCCTGCTCTGCAAAAGTCACCACTCTTTCATACTGTGTGTGTGAGCTTGGACCTTGAGATCATATTCTTTTCATCCATATAGTTTTCTCCACTATATGGATGAAGGACAGAGGTGTGAGGTTATACAACTTTCATTTGGAACATGCGTGAAAAAATGCTGTTGACTTTTAAAATGCTAAGTTTGTGCAATTCCCAAATCTCTGGTTTAGGACCATAATACCTGTGTATTAAGTACAATTAAAATGTGCAACACAGCAGCCGGTTACACTCTGCAGAGTGAGGTGGCTATAATGACACTGGTGTTGAGGCACTCTGTACTATCCACACACTTTTCTGGAGAGAAATAATCTTTGTAATAATTGTCAAACTCAAGTTCAAACACATTGACCGAACAAAGATTCTGAAAGTAAAATATACATTTCTCGCTAGACATTTAATCAGAAGCAAGACTATCCTAACGTATGGAATTGTACACTCTGAATAAGAGGAGAGCTGCCATGTTGTTTGTTTACAGTGAGAGGAACTTGAACATCATGTGTCATGTACGCTGGTAACATTTTGAATGCAGTACTTTTACTGTAACAGAGTATTCCTACAATCTGGTACTTTTTTACTTAAAGGTAGGGTAGGTAAGTTTGAGAAACCGGCTCGAGATCGCTAGAATTTGAAAATACACAACCGGAGAAAATCTGCCACTTCCTTACAGAGCCCCTCCTCCAACACACACGAACGCGCACATGACCAATGAGGGCACGAGATAAGTTTGTGCACAGATGGAAGGCTGACAGGCAGGTAGGCCATCCAGTTATTTTAGCCGGGCCGGCTAAAATGATTGGTCGTGCTTTTTACAGTATTACGGCTTACACAGATGACATTTTCTTATGGACTTTTTGTCAAAGCACTTAAGATATTCATTGCTATCGGGATGTTAAGAGCATTCCATGGAATATAACAGTGGGTTACGTATTGTAACCCTTGTTATATAAACACAGGCGGAGCCCTCTACTGGACTCTATGGGTACTACCTTATCCCGCGTGCATTCTCCCACTGAGACTTCTATAGACGTAGCCGGCCCAGGGCGGGCCTACCTGAATGCGCGCCGCATCACACCGTATAAAAGGAGGCCTCGCCTCCTGACTGCCATCCTATACCTCTCTTCAGCGAGCGGAACAGGACAGACAGTGCCCTGAGTAGAGGGCTCCGCCTGTGTTTATATAACAAGGGTTACAATACGTAACCCACCGTTATATCTCTCACAGGCTCCGCCCTCTACTGGACTCTATGGGTACAGTGGGTGGAGCCCTGATGTATACGCGCACTGTCGTCCAACACCAATCCACCCTACTGCCCCTGACCGGCTTTTCTGGTCAGCAGCTGCTGCCCCCCCTTCTCCTTTAACCCGGTTGTGACCGAGGAGAAATCTGGGCTGCGGCTGACAGAGCACACCCTGCTGCGCTTGCCTCGCAGAAAGTGTGCTCAAAAAACAGTGCCGGGGGACCCTCCCCCCCCCGCCCCTAGACGAATGGGGAGAGCCCCCTCGGCCCCGTATGGGCTTACTACGCACCTGCCTTCCTGAATCCCTAAGGATAACAGGGAGAGCGCCAGCGCCCATGCCTCACACTCAAGCACTGACCCCCTGCAGAGTGTGAAAGGACTAAAAATGTGGGGGGCTATCCTCCCCCTGCCTCTCGGCAGGAGGGGGGCAGCCCCTCCGCCCGTAACGGGCCAGCGCGCCTCTTGCCTATCCCGGGACCCTCAGAGGGCCCAGGAAAGGTGAAGGCGCATCACGTCCGGGGAGGGGGTCAGATGCCAACTGACCCACAACACCCCCCTCCCCTACAAATTCTGTGTTGCCCCAGCAAGCACAGACGAGGAGAAAGAGCCAGACATGTCCAAGAGATAAAACCTTATAAAGGGGCCTGGCGTCGACCAAGACGCCGCTGTGCATAAATCCTCCACACTGTTGAATAAGGCTGTTGACACAGCTAC